CGCCACGTCTGGTGTGTCTGCTCAAGGGGCAAGGGGGGACGGGGATGGGGCAAGGGGAGGGGAAACGTACAAAACAGCTGGCATAGATGAGGGGCGTCGTGCCGTCCTCGTCGGCCGCATTGATATCAAGCAGGGCCTTGGCCTCGCCGCCGAGCAGGCGCTCGATGCGCTCGACGTCGCCGTTGCTGGCGGCCATGTTGAGGGCCTTTTGCAGCATGTCGCGGCGCTCGGCATCGGACAGGGCGTCGTCGGCGAGGATGGCGGCCTCGTCGCCAAAGCTCGGGGCGGCCTGGTGGGCGGCCTGGGCGGCGAGCATCTCCATGAGGCGCGTGTCGCTGCTGGCGGGGCCCTTGGCGGCGGCGTCGTCGTCGTAGGCGCGGTCGTCGTCGAGGGTCAGATCGGTGAAGGACAGCGGTTTGGCGAGGATCGGGGACGTCAGGAACTGGGACTGGCCTGTGTTCGCCAGGGACACGCCGTGTTAGCCCGACTTGCAACGTGTGTGTGTGTGTGTGTGTGTAGTCTTCATTCGTCTCCTCATGCCGGGCCCCTGTGTTGGAATGAATGGGTGGGATTGGGATATTGGGGGGAGGGGAGCAAGGGAAAGAAAAGGAGAGGCAAAAGCGGACAGAGGGAGGGTTCAGAGACATGCCTTGCCAGCCATCATACATCTCGGTCTCCTGGACCAGATCCGTCGGCCGCTGTCTCCTGTCGTTGAGGGAGGTGGGGAGGTCGGCGGGCAGCGCGCGAGGCATCTTGTGCTGCTCGTGTGCGCCGTTAGAATCCCCCAGATCCATGGTGGATGGAGGGGTGGCGTGGCGTGTGGACGAGGGTCGGCATAGGCGGTGGGTGGGTCTGGGTGATCGTGATGGGAGCTTGTGGACAGTCGCTTCAACGAGTTCCGTCAGAAGAGAGCTTCGGACCGGGACTGCTTCTTGCTGACGAGGCGTGCAGTTCGGCGACGTATCGTGTTGTGATGCCCTCGGGATGCCAATGTCGAATGTCAACCGGGCATCCAACGATTTGGGGGGGGGGGGCATAGTGGAATCGACGCTTGATGTCACTTGGGCAAGGCCCCACTTCTGATGACCCGCTGCAGCCACTGCCCGCCAGTGCCACAGATGGTCAATGCCGTGCCACAGACAGTCCATGTCTCGTCGTTCGGTCCCAGATGCACGGTGCCACCCGTGCTGTGAGAGTGCTGTGAGACGCCTACAAGGCTGAGCCAGGCCATATAGCGGCGCAAGCCAAGGCGACCCGAAACATCAATCTGAGGCACCCCTTTCCATTCCGCTGGATTACTTTTCGCCTTGGACTCGTTTGCGCATCGATTTTCTTCACTTTCTTCATTGGCACGCGTGGATACTATTCCTCATGGATGGATCGTGGATGTAGGCTCATAAGTACTCCACGCCCCTACAACACAAGACGTCCTGACAGCTAGCCAACCCCCCTCATGCCCGCTTGCCGTAGACACGCACTCGCTTGACACCGCCGTCGGGAATGATGACGAGCTTGACGTGCGTCGTCACGGTATCCTTCAGCAGGCTGTCAAACTCGTGCTCGAAATCCGCCTTGCACTTGCTCGGCGCCACAAGCGCCTTCCAGCCCTCAGCGTCGACACCAGGCTCCCCGCTGCCCTCCCACTGAATGGCCTCGAGCTTGACTTGCTGCGGGTAGTTGCCGCGGAAGTACGCCGTGTCGACGAGCAGGCTCTGCACGCGCGTCGGCGCACCCAGGCGGATGATGGTCCAGTCGACGTGGTCCTTGCCTCTCGAGCGCGCCGTCTCCCATCCGTCGCCCATGTCCTTGCCGCGCCCCGGCAGCAGCAGGTTGTCCTTGGTGCCAAAGTGCTGGTCGCTGCACGAGATGGCGACGCCGCCGTTCTGCGCCGACGCCAGGTCGAGGATGGCCTCCTTGTCGTCGGGGAACACGGGCACCGCGTGGCCGAAGAGGCGGAACCGCGCAATGCCGCCGTCGGGGTACATGTTGAGGCGGACGTGCGTGTACTTCTTCGTCGTGGGCACGTCGAGCTTCCATCCGAAGCGCTGCGAGGGACCGCACTCCTCGACGCCGAGGATCGTCTCCCACCCGCCGCGCTCGCCCTTCCACGAGACGACCTCGTCATCGTTGAGGTTATAAACGCCCTCGACCGAATGGGCGGCCGCGTGGTTGCCGTTGAAAAAGGCAGGGCGTCCTCATGCCTTCAACGGTCGTAAACAATCCAAGAGGAGAT